TTCTAATCATACATGGATTTCTAAACAGAAGGGACTATCTTCAGATTTCATCCCACCCATCAGGATTAATCTTTATTTGCAAAAAACAATGTAATTAATGCATGGTAGAGAAAAATAACAAAGGGGGGTTCAAGACGTAAATCTTGAATAACGTCTTGAAACCAAAGGAGGGTTCGAGTTGAAAACCTGAAAAGGCGGCTCGAATATAAAAATTGTGTAACTGAGGCGATCACACAAATTCCTTGATACGACATCGCACAATCCGAGTGTGACCATGAAAGCTGGCAGTCGGAGAACACTTCCAGTAGAGGAGCATGCAAACTACCCCATCAAACCTTTGAGCATCAAATGACAAACCTTTGAACATCAAATACCAAACATTTGAGCATCAAATGCCAAACCTTTGACCAAACACAATAACCTGAGACTTTTTTATCCTTGCCTTACTTAACTATTTCCCAAAGATAGCTTTGATCTTGACACTTGTCAAATAGTTATAATTTATTGAAGTATTAACATTGTAATTAATTCTTTGATATCCGATGAACTATAGTTTTATGATTCATCTCAATTGTAAAACCATGAAAGTGACAATATTTTCAAAACTTTGGATTAAACATTTTTCGAAACTCTTTATTGATATTTTCAGAACTTTGAAAATAAAAGAGAAAGAAAAACATTTTTTTTCAAACAAGATAGTCTCTCTAGAGTGGATTTTGGTAAATGACATGTGACTCTTAGACACAAAACTCATGCTCAGAATCAATGCTGAAGCAAGAAATGAGGAATATTTGGGGCATCTTTGGAGATTCAACATTTGGAGATTGGGGCATCATTTGGGGATTCAACATCCTAATGCAAATTATCAGACCTTTTTCAGGAGATAAAATATAACCAATTCATGTTACATGCATCTTATGCATACATTTTAGAGCATCATATTTATCATTTTCCACATACATAATTTTTTACAGCTTTTAGAGTCAAGTTTCGACTTCAAGACGAAAGATACCCGATTCAAAAGCACCTTTAAAGATTGATGTTGGTTATTTAACTCAGCAGCAAGAAGCTACACTTCAACCAACTCGACAGATTGAAAGATCGACATTCATCTTCAGATTCGACATTTCCAATATAAATTTTGTCTCGCTTGAGATAGTCTCATTTAAAACAAGATTTTATCTCGCTTGAGATAGTTTTTCTTTGAAACAAATTTCGTCTCCCTTGAGACAGTCTTCCTTGAAACAAATTTTGTCTCCCTTGAGACAGTTTCTCTCCAGACAACACAAGTTCAACTTCACGACGAAGGGACCGCTGGTTGTCAATAAACAATTTCCCAATTTCAGAGCCAATTTCAACTTCACAGCGAAGGATATTGGACTCAAGAAAACACAAGCTCAACATCACAGCGAAGGGGCGGCTGACTGTCAACAAACAACTTCTCAATTTCAGAGTCAATTTCAACTTTACAGCGAAGGATATTGGACTCGAGACAACGCAAGTTCAACTTCACGACGAAGGGACCGCTGGTTGTCAACAAACAACTTCCCAATTTCAGAGCCAATTTCAACTTCACAGCGAAAGATATTGGACTCCAGACAATGCAAGTTCAACTTCACGACGAAGGGACCGCTGGTTGTCAACAAATAATTTCCCAATTTCGGAGCCAATTTCAACTTCACAGCGAAGGATATTGGACTCCAGACAACGCAAGTTCAACTTCACGACGAAGGGACCGCTGGTTGTCAACACACAACTTCTCAATTTCAGAGCCAAATTCAACTTCACAACGAAAGATATTGGACTCCAGACAACGCAAGTTCAACTTCACGACGAAGGGACCGCTGGTTGTCAACAAACAATTTCCCAATTTCGGAGCCAATTTCAACTTCACAGCGAAGGATATTGGACTCCAGACAACGCAAGTTCAACTTCACGACGAAGGGACAGCTGGTTGTTAATAAACAACTTCTCAATTTCAGAGCCAATTTCAACTTCACAACGAATGATATTGGACTCCAGACAACGCAAGTTCAACTTCACGACGAAGGGACCGATGGTTGTCAACAAACAACTTCCCAATTTCAGAGCCAATTTCAACTTCACAGCGAAGGATATTGGACTCGAGACGATGCAAGTTCAACTTCAAAACGAAGGGACCGCTGGTTGTCAACAAACAATTTCCCAATTTCGGAGCCAATTTCAACTTCACAGCGAAGGATATTGTACTTGAAACAACACAAGTTCAACTTCACAACGAAGGGACGGTTGGTTGTCAACAAACAATTTCTCGATTCCATAGCCAATTTCAACTTCACGACGAAGGATATTGGACTCGGAACAATCCTACTTACTTGGATTTCAACTTCACGATGAAGGATATCCAATTCCAGGCTCAACTTCACGATGAAGGGGCCACCCGCGGTTTCAACTTCATGACGAAGGGAATCGTGCACACAAGCATCATCCATCTTTAGATTGGATTTCAACTTCACGACGAAGGATATCCAACTCAAAGAAGGATTATCTGTCAACAAAGACTTCGAGTTCGACTACGCTCAGCTCCAAGGCACATCATTTACAGTATAACTCAAGGCTAGAAGGGTTATCTGCCATCAAAATTGTCGAGTTCGATTCCATTCAGCTCGATGACACATCAATCGCACTACTTTCCGGTTGCAGTCGAGGTTTTCAAGTCGAAAAGAGGACTGGGTTAGCCGTACCTTAGTGACAAGCAACCATTTTCAAGCAACATAGCTTAAGTCAAGAAAAAACTATCAGTCAATGAAGATTTCTGAGTTCGATTCGATCCAAGGTCTTTAAACTGAGAAGAAGATCGGAGGGCAACGGGAAGCCACGTGTTGATTCAAATTATGAACTACGGCTTCAATTTCATATCATTTCAAGATGAACTCGACTTCACGATGGAGGAGTCATCCGTAACTCAATTCGACATGGAGTTATTGAAATATCAGAGTCAATTTTCAACTCCACTGAACGAAAAGTGTGTCTTTTAATCTTTGCTCTATCCCCGTTACACGACTATGGGCAAAGAGGAGCAGCTGTCAACACACCTTTTCGTCATACTAGGATTCAAACTCCTAAAAATAGGATATAATTTTAGGATTCAAACTCCTAAAAATAGGATAGAGTTCTAATATGATTTAAACTCTTAAAGATAGGATTCACAAGCATTATAAATAGTCATTGTAACTCACTATTATAACACACGATTTACACACAAAACACAGAGGAAAGCACAGAAAATACAAAGGCAAAGCTATTGTAAACGATTCGAAAAGGAAATAAAAGGTAGCATCTTTTTTACATTGGTTGTTCATTTCTCGCATGTGCACGTTATTTTTCTTGAGATTTGGTTCGAATAACCCAAAACGTGGGTTGCGCATATAACCAAAAAGGGGTGGGGTTTCGAAGTTTCGAACCTAGATCTACCCCCGAGGCGTGTTCATTTTTTCTAAATATTTAATTCACCCCCTAAATCATTTTTTCCTACTTTATTATTCTTGTTATATATGCATGTTACTTTCTATTAATTTTATTATATGTATATATGTTTTTTAGGTTTTATATATATATATATATATATATATATATATATTTCCTATTTTACATGTATAAATACGTATATTACTTTTGATTTTCTTTTTTATTATTATTTTACTTATATATATATATGCTTTTACTTTTTTATATATTTTACTCATTTATTTATCTATTTTCTTTTTATCTTTATCCTATATTTTATGTTTTTATATTCTTTTACTTGTTTTATTTATTTATTTGCATTATCATTTTATTTTTATTTAGTTGTTTGCTATGTATATATTAGTGTTATTGTATTTTTTATTTAATATTCTATTCATTTATATTTACTTTATTTCTTTTTAATCTCCTTATTTTATTTGTTTTACTTTATTTATCATTTATTCATCTCTTCTAACCCATATTTTGATTTTTAAAGGGTATATTTGTAAATCCGTCAAATGTAAGTAATTTTGGATCATTATTTTATCTTTTAATTTAAACTTATAATTTTCTTAATCAAAGACAACTGGAAATTACGTAGTACCGAAAGTGCAGTTCAAGGGTGCTAATCCTTCCTTGATTGTAATCGACTCCCGAACCCGACACATCTTTGGAAAGACGCAGATCAGGTAAGAAATAAGGTATCCGATCAACCTATTTATTCTTAAATAAATGATCGGTGGCGACTCCAATCCACATTTTTTAAGTCGAAGCCCAATCCCGGGCCTAACCGAAAGACGGTTGCGACAATGAGTTGAAAAATAAATGAAGAAAACATGCAATGTTGTGGGATTAAATTGAAAAAATAGAAAATTTGTTATAAAAACATTAATTAAAGATATATGGGTATTCTAAAATAGTTTAGGAGTATGTGATTCAAATTCAATAAAAATTAGACTCGAAATGAAGAAGGAATGGAAATAATTAGGAAATTATGTAAAGTTAAGGAACTAAATTGAAAAATAAAAAAAATTTATTAAAAGGAGAAATTGAAAATAAGTAGATATTCTAAAATGGTTTAGGTGTAAGTGGTTCAAATTTGATAAAATGGACTTAAAATGAAAAATTTGAAAGAATTAGGATATCAGATATTAAATCGCAAAATTGTTAAAATTTTAGTTCTTTCGAGTGACTCGTAAATTTTAAATTCCAATTTGAATTAAACTAAAAAATCAATTTGATAATTCGAGTTGATCGAACAACTCAACTAAAATAATTCAAAATAAAAATATGATTTTTTGAATAGAGTTTACTTAGACATTTATATATAAAACTGAAATCGCCACCTGGCTCAGAGAGAGGGGTATTGGCAGTTGCAGATGTATATCATATTCATTGTGAGAACGTATTCTCTTAATATCTAAATTTCTTAGGTTAATAGTTTATTCTAACGATGACCTTAAATTTAATGTTATTAATAAATATGTATATATCCTAAAAATATTTATAGATTTTGTGTAGTATGAGAAAAGAGTTTAAAAGTCTGATATTTACACTGTAGAACAAGTGTGTTGTAATCAATCAGATTGGTTTCTTCACGTTGAAGTAGAGACAGAAAGTAGAGGAAAGAGACAGCCATGAAACGATCAAAAATGTTTTTGCAAAGACAGAAGATTTATCTGACAAAAAAGACTGCACCCCTTTCTTTTGTTTCTATTTAGATCCCCCACCCTTCATCTTTTTTCTTTCTGCAACACATGTTTTTGTTTTAGCCGTGTCTGGTTTGGAGAATGGTCTTAAACTACCCTAAGCAACAACAAGTCTTGCATGGCGAACCATCACCTTCCTTACGCACTTCATGGAAATGGAATGAATGTTTCCACAAGTTTCATGTATGTAATTTTCAATTCAAACCTCGTCTTCTTCTTTCAAGGATTGATCCTTTTTTTAATCTGTTTTGTGTTCCAGCAACCAAGAAGGGCCTGCCTTTGATTTCCGAGAGCTAGAAGAAGCCATTGTTATGCAAGGAATGAAATCAAGAGTTGAAGAAGAAGAAGCAGCAGCTAAAGCAAGTAAAGCTCCTTATCTTTTTTCACTTATTTTTTTTCTTCTGACGTTTGCTTAAAGCTTTCAACCAACAACTCTGCTGAAACACTTGATTGGTGTGAACCTACAAAGATAGAAATCTTCACCTGACATGCCTACTACCATGTTCTTTACTCACTCCATAACTGTATAAAAGAGAAGATATTGCTTGTAGCTTTGAAAAAATCCTCTGAGATTTTGCTTTTTGGGATTCTCTGCAGCTTTATTAACAGCAGGCAGAACTGCAGCAGGAGCTACTTTGGAGATGTTCCCTTCTTGGCCTATCAGATTTCACCAAACCCCTATAGTATAGTTCTCTAATCCATTTTTTTTACCATTGTTTGACCATGTATTTGGATTTAAAAAAAAGGGTTTTTGAAAGTGGACCTGTTCTATAAGAAAAGAAGGTTTTAAATGGGGTTGTTTCTGTGTTCATTCCGATTCCAGGGGAGTTCAAAATCAGGAGGGGAGAGTACAGATTCTTCATCTTCTTCATATCATCAAGCTTTTGAACAACACCATCTTCATCAACAAATACAACAAGAAATGGCAAGTGATCCTTCAACAACGCTGAATCAGTCATCAGCTGCCATTGCAAAACCTCACCAAGACAAGGTCCTTAAAGTCATCGTGTTTAAATTAGTAATTTAATCCCAAAATTTTATTTCTTTCTTATTTACCATCTTCTTCTTTCTGCATCCCAAGTTGGTATCAGTTTTTGTCATTATTACTGTTTTGATCTTATCACCTTCAGAAAATCAAAGGGTACAGAGTTTTTCTGATCCCTGAACGATTTTCTAGTGAATATCTGAGATGAAAAGAGAGAAAGCTGCACACTTTGAAAAGCAAAGAGAATCTGCACTATATATATATATGTGTGTGTGTGTACATATATTAGTTTCATTTTTTGTCACAAAGTATGACTTCACTTCAGTCGATAGCCAAATACCTATAATTCACAGAAACAATGGCCGCTTTTGATGATTTTTGTTACCTTTATCACGTTCCTGATTACCAATTAGAAGAACAAGTCTCAAATCACCATTAGCAATCTGGAACTCTTCCTATAAATTTTGTGAGCTCTTTATGTTCAAAAGTTATATTTTTAATATAGTTTTTTTTTGAACGAAACAAATTCTGGTTTTGCTTTCTAGACTCGATTGTTTATACTTTGTAAATTTATGTCTTGTAAAATTTTCCAGCTTACCAAACAACGGCCAAATGCTCTCATTTTCCTGACCAACGTCTTGTCTGCGCTTGATAAGAATCTTTTAAATCACCAACCACTTCCCTTCTTTTTATTATAATCAAATACGAAAATGGGTATCATTTCACCTCATTAAACATCTGCAAATACATATTCTTTCTTTCTGACGTTGCAGAAAAAGGCTTCAACTACTGTGAAACAGCTTGATGCCAAGGTTTTCTTTTTCTTTTTCCTTTTGGTTTCTTCTGAATAAAAATAAAGGAATTTATTTTTTGAGTTAAAATCTGATTAAAATTGTTGCTTTTTCTAGACACTGAGGCGTTTAGCTCAAAACAGAGAAGCTGCAAGGAAAAGCCGTCTTAGAAAAAAGGTAACATCAAAACATTATATGCAAAAGGGAAAAAAACATTTGCATGTAGTTTCTTACTTGTGTATGTTTAAACAGGCTTATGTTCAACAACTAGAATCAAGTAGAATAAAGCTAACTCAACTTGAACAAGAACTTCAGAGAGCAGGATCTCAGGTTTTCTGATCTATTGCCCATCATTATTCATCAAAACAAATATCGTTTAATTTCAATTATATATATATATCTTGCTTGCTTAAATTTTTGGGTTTTTGTCTGTGTAATAGGGACTTGTGTTGGGAAGTAGTGGTGGCCCTGTTGGAAATATGAGCTCTGGTAAGTTTCTAAGCAAAGCGAATTAATGTTTCAATATCATAATAAATATTTTTTTTCATTTCAAGCAATGAACACTTTGACAAACCAAAAGTTTCCCGTGATTTATTTATAAGGGTTGTTGGTACGAACCTAAAATTTTAGGTTAGAGGTGTGAGGTTAAGAAGTTATATTAGAAATTTAGAGGTATAAAATCATAAAATTCAGAAGTACGGAATTAGATAATCGGTAGGAAATATCTGAACTACACGAGAATTTGAAATTTTCAAGGTGAAACCCATGTGCAATTTGTTGAATGATTGATTTGGGATTTGGTGTAGGGGTAGCTATATGTGACATGGAATACGCAAGATGGTTAGAAGATGACGAGAGACATATGTCGGACCTTAGAACCGGTTTACATTCCAACCTCTCCGATTCCGACCTTCGATTAATCATCGATGCCTACATTTCCCATTACGATGAAATTTTCCGGTTGAAAGGAATGGCTGCCAAATTCGATGTTTTTCACCTTTTAACCGGAATGTGGGCCACTCCGGCGGAGCGATGCTTCCTTTGGATGGGTGGTTTTAGGCCATCTGAGCTCATCAAGGTTTTCAAACCTTCATAAATGCCATCTTCTTCTTTTTTAGCTTTCAATGTCTCATCCGATTGGCTTTAAACTATGTGTTTTCTCAGATGTTAATATCACAATTGGACCCGCTAACGGAACAGCAACTGATGGGGATTTACAGCCTCCAGCACTCGTCACAGCAGGCGGAAGAGGCACTCACTCAAGGCCTGGAACAGCTCCAGCAGTCTCTAATCGACACGGTTGCCGGCGGTCTGGTCGTCGATGGAATGCAACAAATGGCTGCTGCCTTAAGCAAGCTGGCCAATCTTGAAGGCTTCGTTCGTCAGGTAACATCATATCTAGAGACCAACGTAAGGTTTTATGTCAGAAAGTATGAATCTTTATGAAGTATATTAAAAGTTTAGGGATACAATTAATATCGAATTACACATAACGTTCCTTTCTAGTCTATTTCGTGTCTATGTATGATCTATCTTGTTTTGCGCCGCAATTTTTTGAAAGGTAAACAGTCTCAACTTTAACCTATGACATCCTACTAGCATGTTGCTTATAAATCCTGCAATCGGACAAATATATATATATATGGCGTGCAAGTTGAATTATGATGGATTTCGTGTTTGACCATTATTGTTAACAGAGGAAATATTCAACTTTATAATATGTAAATTGTATTCATTTGCCACGTCCATTGCCAGGCCTCGTTGGTTTCTATTTTATTCATGGACCGTCATTTTATTGGGTGAATTTTAATTTGCTTTATCTGTAAAAGTCAATTGCAATATTGGATGCTATGACTTTGATGGGGGTATGTTTATCTGTAAATGTTCCTTTCAAAAGGTGGTATGATGATGATATCTTTTGAAAGAATAACCCCAGCTACCTTCAACCGTTGATGAAAAATATTTAATTTTTTTTATAATTGTTGATATTTGATTTATTAATTGATTATTTATTAATACTTTCTATTTATTTGTTAACTTGTATGTTGTAACGTAGGCTGACAATTTAAGGCAACAAACCCTACATCAACTGCCCCGGATACTAACCGTTAGACAGGCCGCACGGTGTTTTCTGATGATCGGAGAATACTACGGACGGTTACGAGCACTTAGTTCTCTTTGGGCGTCCCGTCCTCGAGGGTAACGTCTTTTATTATTTTATGAATTTGATATTCGAATCCGGATGTGAAAATATACTTATACGATGTAGGAGGTTGATGGGTGAGGAACAGTCATGGCAAACAACAACAGAGTCGCAAATGGTGCAACCATCACGGAGCCATTACTCACACTTTTGATGATTTAACAAAAGAGAAAAGGAAAGAAAAAACAACTAATAGCCAGTGAGCCAGCACCGAGATCAGCTATATGTCAAAGTTAATTCTGTATTTAATTTCAAAATTATATATGCAGCCATGCAAATTGGACTGTATAAATGTTATATATATTTCATCAAAGCTGCCTTTTGAGTTTAGAGGAGATGGGACTTTAATCTGTTTTCATTTTTTTTTCCTAAATCTTTTTATATTATTATTTAAGTTTATCTTGTTAGAACAATTGAACAATCGAAATAGTGAATAGTAGTGAAATTATCTTTTAAAAATGTGTGAAAGAATAGAGAATAATAGACAATGTACGTGATGATCTATAATGGATTTAATTTTTTGACACATTTTTTGACGACAGGGAAGTACATTAATGGTTTCCTTATTATATGACACCATTTTATTGAGTTATTTGACTATTAAATGTTAAAAGATGATTCTATGATTATAGGACGTTGTTTTGTTGAATTTTTTATAATTAAAAGTTACAAAATAATTATTTGACTATTCATATGTTATAAACTCGTTTTTTTCATTAAAAAATTAGTGATCGCCTGAGCTGAACGCTAACTGTTGATTGAGATATGATTTGAATTATATTTTATAAATAACCTTTTCGTTTACATTATAACGTTGAGTCTGTTCTTGAAATATTATGTTAGCGAGTCAGTGCTTAAAAACAATGATAATGCCAATAAACATCATCAAAATGTGATTTTATCATATCCAGTTAGCAGGTTAACTCAAGCTCATTCGGTCGTCAATTTTTTAATGGAAATGAGCGAGTTTAGAACATATGAATAGTCAAGTGTTCATTTTGCAACTCTTAATAGTTGGAAGACTTAACAAAATAATGTCTTATAGTTAGAGGATCATTGTGTAAATTTCAACAGTCGGAGGACTTAATAAAGTAGATCCTATACTTGGGGGACCATTATGTTTTACCTTTATTACTGGGGTCCGGCTGAGTTCCTCTATTACTGGCTTCACAGAGCTTTGCACCACCATTACCTCTATGCTCGCTATCACTCCCATCACCATTCCTCCATTGTCACCGAGCCGAACACCTGTAAGCCACTCACTTTGTTTATGAAAACTAAACTTTATCTGCAGATTAAGGATTTATTTTTGTTTTGGGCAGCGTTTACACATCCAATGGTGGAAGTTCATGCGTATTATGTGCTCCTTTTGATACCGAAGTTGGTGTCGGTATATATCGGAAAAGCTAACATCGTTGGATTGTTTACTTACGTTACCGTCATCGATTTCTTGAACAACATGGGGCATTGCAACTTTGAGTTCATCCCAAATGGATCTTCACCATCTTCCCTCCTCTCAAATACATCGTTTACACTCCTTCGTAAGTCTATGCTTTACACCTCTTTCTTTCTTGTTATACAAGTAAATCATGTTAATGCAACTTACAAGCTACGGTCTTTTGGTATGATAGGTTTCACTCTCTACACCACACTAAATTTCGGACAAACTACAGTCTTTTCTGTCCATTCTATGATTATGCCTACGGCACGGTGGACGTATCGACAGATACCGTGTACGAAACTGCACTGAAAGGAGCCGAGGAGTCACCGGACGTCGTTCATCTAACTCATCTAACCACGCAATCGAAAAAATAACCGCAATTTAAATCCTTGAACATAATATATTTTCTCCTGCAGTTGGTTTGGTTAATTACATATTTATACTAGTATGGTATACGTTTCTGCCTACAGTATTCTTCAAAATGGCAAAGAGAAACTATCAGTTAATTGATTGGAGATGCCATTCAAGAAGCAGATAAGAAAGGAGCTAAGGTGCTGAGTTTAGGCCTTCTGAATCAGGTATGTTCAAATCGTTTATGTTTATTTTTTTTTTCAAAAAAGTTTATAAATTTAACCTTTTTCCTTTTAAATATTCAGTGTGAAGAGTTTAGCAGAAATGTGGAGATTCATATGAAAAACAACCCTCAGCTTAAAATCAAGGTTGTAGATGGAAGAAGTTTAGCTGCAGCAATTGTTCTAAACACCATTCCCAAGGAAACAAGTTCTCCTCAGAGGCAGAATTTCAAAGGATGTTCATGTCTTGGTCCAAGCTTTATGTCAAAAGGGTATCAAGGTAACTTCGAAATCTCTTCGAGGAAGGGACGTACGCTGATGGCGAATTTATAAAATATAAATATTTAAAATAGGAAAATATATATCAATAGAAAATACATAAATTATCCGTCAGTCTCTGTTTTACACTTGAAAATTTATATGTTGAGCAGGTTGTGACAGTGCAAGATGATGAATACAAGGAACTGTTAAAGTCCAATAACAAGCTTGAGAGTAATTTGATTCTTTCCAAAAGATATGATATCAAGGTATTTTAATTATAGATCACAACCCATTTTTCTACTGTTTTTTTGTCAAGTAAGACTGTATATTTTTGCAGGTATGGTTGGTGGGAGATGGATGACCGATAAAGAACAGTCCAAGGCACCGAAAGGAACAATATTCATTCCCTTTTCGATCTTCCCACCGAAGAAAGTCCGAAAAGACTGCTATTACCACACTACACCAGCCATGGTGGCTCCGCATCTTTGAAGAATGAACTCGTGAGGTTAGTAGTAAATAAAATGATTTTTGTGGAAGATGAAAACCGTTATGGTGCCGTTTTGAAACCTGCAGGACCTGGTTGACGATAAGGGCGATGAGTGCGAGCCGTGTTGCTGGGATAATTCATGCTTCGGAAGGGTTCGATGTGAACGAGGTGGCGGCACCATTTTTAGCATCTACAAAGTTTGGGAGGCGAGTCTTGAGATGGATTTCGGCCCTTGCCAATCCCCAGTTAATGAAAAAACAACTGCTTATGGGAAATCATGTTGTTGTAGTACTAATATATGCCTGGTATCTTGACAGTGGTGCAAGCAATCACATGTGTGGAAGGAAAGACATGTTTGTGGAGCTAGACGAGTCAGTAAGTGGAAATGTTTCGTTTGGAGATGATTCCACAATAGCAGTGAAAGGGAGAGGTAACATTCTTATCCGTTTGAAAGATGGGAGACATCAATTTATTTCAAATGTCTACTATGTGCCCAATATGAAAAGTAACATTTTAAGTTTAGGGCAATTGGTAGAGAAAGGTTATGATATTCATATGAATAATTATAATCTTTCTATAAAAGATGAAGAATAACTTCATTGCTAAAGTGCCGATGTCAAAGAATAGAATGTTCTTGATCAACATACAAATGATGTTGCAAAGTGCCTGAAAGCTTGCTACAAAGATGCATCATGGCTTTGGCATCTTCGATTTGGGCATCTCAATTTTGGAGGTCTAGAGCTATTCTCTAAGAAGGAGATGGTGAAAGGACTACCTCACATCAACCATCCTGACCAGCTCTGTGAAGGGTGTCTAGTCGGGAACAATTCAGGAAAAGCTTTCCAAAGGAGTCAGAGACAAGAGCTAAGAAGCCACTTGAGCTCATCCATACCGATGTGTGTGGACCGATCAAGCCAAGCTCTCTCGGTAACAATAACTATTTCTTCTCTTCATTGAGATTTTTCAAGAAAAACCTGGGTATATTTCTTGAAACAGAAGTCAGAAGTTTTTGAAGTCTTCAAGAAGTTCAAAGCAGCAGTGGAGAGAGGAACGGTAGAAAGATCAAAGCCATGAGATCCGATCGAGGTGGAGAATTTACTTCCAAGGAGTTTCAAGAGTTCTGTGAAGCAAATGGAATTCGTCGACCAATGACAGTTCCTAGATCCCCCAGCAAAATGGTGTGGCAGAAAGAAAGAATAGAACAATTCTCGACATGGCACGAAGCATGCTCAAAAGCAAGAAACTACCCAAAGAATTTGGGCGGAAGCAGTATCGTGTGCAGTCTACTTGTCAAATCGATCTCCAACAAGAAGTGTATGGGGAAACACCGCAAGAGGCATGGAGTGGAAGAAAGCCTGGCATTTTCCACTTGAGAACCTTTGGAAGTATAGCCCATGTTCACGTACCAGACGAGAGAAGACGAAGCTTGATGATAAAGCGAGAGTTTTATCTCATCGGCTATGATGCTAATTCGAAGGGCTACAAGTTGTACAATCCAGACAATAAGAAGTTTGTGATTAGTCGAGATGTGGTCTCAACGAAGAAGGAGAATGGGATTTTAACTCTCATACAGATGACTTCAATTTCTTTCCTCAGTTTGAAGAAGATGAGCAGACAATGAGGGAGCAACTAGATGATCTCAACAAGAGCTTGCAACTCCACCCACTTCACCAACCTCAACCACTCAAGGAGATTCATCACCTTCATCATCGTCAATGGGAGTCAAAGTGAAAGAGTTGTGCAACGCACAAGAAGCCTTAGAGATCTCTATGAGGTAACTGAACGACAAGATAATCTTACATTATTTATCTGTTTGCCGATTGTGAACCAGTGAGCTTTCAAGAAGCGTACAAGAAAAGAAATGGAGAGATGCGATGGACGAAGAAATCAAGGCCATCGAGAAGAATGACACATGGGAACTTACCTCACTTCCCAAGGGACATAAGGCGATAGGTGTCAAATGGGTACAAAACAAAGCAAAACACCCAAAGGAGAGATTGAAAGGCACAAGGCGAGGCTAGTTGCTAAAGGCTATAGTCAAAGGCTGGAATTGACTATGATGAGGTATTTGCTCCTGTTGCTCGATTGGAGACTATCAGACTAATCATTTCTTTGGCAGCTCAAAACAAGTGGAAGATACACAGATGGATGTAAAGTCCGCCTTCCTAAATGGAGTTCTTGAAGAGGAACTTTACATTCAGCAACCATCAGGCTATGAAGTCAAAGGGCATGAAGACAAGGTGTTGAAGTTGAAGAAGGCTCTTTACGGGCTAAAACAAGCACCAAGGGCATGGAATAGCCGAATCGACAAGTACTTCCAAGAGAATGGCTTCAACAAATGTCCCTACGAGCATGCTCTATATATCAAGATCAAAGATGAAGGATATTTGATCGTGTGCCTCTACGTGGACGATTTGATCTTCACTGGAAGCAACCCAAGCATGTTTAATGAATTCAAGGATGTGATGATGAAGAATTCGAGATGACAGACATGGGGCTCATGGCGTACTACCTTGGCATTGAAGTTAAGCAACAAATGATGGAATTTTCATTTCACAGGAAAGCTATGCAA